GCCGCTTCACCCGGAAGATCCACATGCCACTGACGATGTTCGCCCCAGGAGGGGGAACAGCGTCAACGTAGGTGCCTGTGGACTTCCAGGAAGCCATCTCTGCATCCATAGCTGCCTGCCACTGAGAGGAGTAGGGACCCTCTACGGCCTCCGCGTAAGAACGCGGAGTCGGGATGTCTAGTGCATCCGGGTCTCCCTCAGGGGCAAGCAGTACAGACGCGAGATGAGGTGAAGCAGCCGCTAGACACTGTAACTCCTCCTGTCTGTCCTCTAGGACGTCCGTGCCAAGAGCACACTCACCCCCGACGGACGGAGGACAGACAGACGCAGACTCAGCAACAAGACCAGCAGCGTAGTCGAGACGACAGCGAGCAGCAAAGTCAACGAGCTCAGCGACTAGAGCAGACGCAGCAGTGGACTCAAAAGAGGGGTCAGTGACGACAGTAGCAAGCAGACGCGTGACAGTAGGACTGGCAGCGCGAAGAGAGTCCGACTCAGGGTCGGCAAGCGCAGGAAGAGAGGACTCAGGAGGCGAAGGCAAAGGGGCACGCAGAGGAGCAGTGGACGGACGCAGAGACATCCGGTGCGTGCCAGGGACAGGAGGAGGACGCTGACGCGAACCGCGACCACTAGCGCGAGCAGCACGAACAGGCGACGCGGGACGAGACGCAGGCTCACGACGCTCAGCAAGACCTCCAGTAGGACCAGTGTAAGGAGAGGGAGCAGGCAGAGGAGAGGAAGGCTCCAACAATGACTGCGACTGGACAGGCTGTGGACACTCTACCGAAGGAGAAAGACCAAGAACCTGCTGTAGGAGCGGAACGAAGTACGGCCGAGGCCGCGCGGCAGCTCCAGACTCAGCAGGGACAGCACCAGCACCCTCAGCGACAGCACCAGCGCCACCCACACCTCCAGCGGCAGGACCAACAGCAGTAGGCTCAGCACCAACGCCCTCAGTACCTCCAGCTCCAGGAGGACCCGCAGGTCCAGCAGCTCCGGGACCGGCAGCACCCGCACCCTCGACGGTCGAAGAAGCTCCAGCACCAGCTCCAGCAGCACCTCCAGACTCAGCAGCACGCCTCCAGCGGCGAGCGAACCACTCGCGCAGCTCCTGTGGAGAGAGGGGCTCCCGGCGAGACGCAGCAGCAGGAGAAACCCCAGGCTCAGCAGCTCCAGACGCAGCACCCCCAGGCTCCGCACTCTCCGCAGTAGCACCCGCAGGCCCAGTACCCCCAGCAGTAGCACTCCCAGGCTCAGCACCCCCGCGCACAGCACCCCCAGAGTCAGCACCCCCAGGCTCAGCACCCCCGCGCACAGCACCCCCAGAGTCAGCACCCCCAGGCTCAGCACCCCCGCGCACAGCACCCCCAGAGTCAGCACCCCCAGGCTCAGCACCCCCGCGCACAGCACCCCCAGAGTCAGCACCCCCAGGCTCAGCACCCGCAGCAGCACCAGAGTCACCTGTAACCTCGACCGGGTCAACGGCGTCTACCTGGGACACACCTGAGGGGGCAGGAACCTGAGGGGGAAGGGGGTCTACCGGGGGGGGAACCGGTACAAGGAAGTCCGGGGGAGGGGGGAGGGAAGGAGTGCGGTAGGGGAAGAGACGGTAGAAGGGGACTGACTCGTCGAACGTGACGTCCTGGGAGGACAGAACACGACGAGAGGAGGGGTGGTAAAACTGCCACCCTGGGGCGTCAGTGGGGAAGCCAAGGAAGACACAAGGAGCAGCACGAGGGGACAGCTTGTCCGCAGACAAGTCGCGGACAAACGCCCGAGATCCCCAGACACGGAACACAGACGCATCGCCAACCTTCCCTGTCCACAGTAAGGCTGGGGACATCGCAGGCCGAGAGACCCGGGGGTGAAGGTTGAGCTGATGCGCCGCGTACCTCACCGCAAACGGCCACAGAAAATGGGGGGCAGCCGCATGCATCATGGACGTACGAGCGACATCCATGACCATGCCAATGCGGCGCTCAGCAATCCCATTTTGCTGTGGTGAGTCCGGAAGCGTGAAGGACTGGCGGATGCCTCGCGCACGACAGTAGGCACGCAGAAGGCCAGAGGAGAACTCTCCGCCTCTGTCCGAGTGCAGACGCAGAACAGGAAAGTCCGAGCCGAAGCTCTTCCTGAGCCGGAGACGAGCCTCGCGGATCCAGTCGATCAGCACCTCAGTGACCTCACCCTTGCTGCGCAAGGGGAGGACTGTGGTGTAACGCGAGTAGTCGTCAACCACCAACAGGAAGTAGCGCTCGTAATCCTGCCCACGGACGGGGGCTGGGCCCCACACATCCATGTGAAGCGTCTGCAGGGGAGCCTCTGTCGGGGGGAAGTGGGAGGAGTGAGGAGTAGCCCGGAGGCGACCCTCGACACAGGGGACACAGGGAGGTCCTGGCCCGGAGGGGAGAGGAGGGAGAGACTGGGGAAGACCAGAGACAAGGACACGGGAAGCCATGCTCCGAAGACGGGGCAAGGAGGGGTGGCCAAGACGGTGGTGCCACAGGAGAGTCTCGTGAGACAGGAGGCGACAAGTACAGGGGGCAGACTCAGGACCAGACCTGGACGCAGCAGCAAACACCTGACCCGACGCTGCTACCTGACCGGACGCGGGGACAGGAGGAGACTCAGTGGTCAGGGTGTAGAGGCTCGACCCCGGCCGACGCGAGAACGTGGCCAGGTGCCGGCCTGTGCGTGCGTCCGTGCAGTGGGTCACCCGCTGACTCGCAGGAGTGAACTGGTGAACCCCCGCATCCTGTAGGTCTGCACCACTCACCAAGTTCGTCGAGAACGAGGGGAGGTACAGGCCAGACAGGGTGCCCGAGGGGGCAGCCGGACACGGGAGGACAGTGGAGAAGTGAGCGAGGACAGGACCCCCAGAGGGGTCAGCCAGGGAGACTGCAACCGGCCGACCAAGCGGCGTGAGTGTGGTGCGGTCCCGAAAGAAGGAGCGAGAAGCCCCAGAGTCAAGTGTAAAGGTGAGGGAGGCCGAAGCCAACGCGGTACCTGAGAGCGCAGCCTCACCCGCACCTGAGGAAGCAGACTCACTAGCACCTAGAGCAGCAGCCGCACCTGTACCCGGAGCAGGAGACTCACTAGCACCCAGAGCAGCAGCCTCACCAGTAGCTAGAGCAGCAGGTCCTATACCTGGGTCAGGCGGGACGCACAGGTGACCTGCACGGTCAGCACTAGTAGGCAATGCATACATGGCAGTGAGAATAGCATCATAGTCAAGAGCATATATATCTACCCTCTGCCTAAGCAACTCCACCCAGTCGGGAAGCTCAGCCTCGTCGCCAAACACGGTACGCCAGGCGTCGCTCAGACGGGCGAAGCAGCGGGACGGTGTATGACTACGTGTCCCACAAGGCTGACCAGTCCGAGTACCAGTGCGAATCACGTAAGAGCAGCGAACAGCACTAAGAGACCCTCCACTCTGAGCGTACCACTCACGAAGCTGGCGAGGCGTGAGAGACACGCGAGAGGGTCGCGGGAGCTGCATCTGGCCGCCACCACGAGTAGAAGCAGCAGGAGTGGTAGTAGGAGTAGCGTCGCCACCCCTACAGCCCCAACCAGCGTACCACTCACGCAGCTGCTGCGGCGTGAGGGACTCACGCCGGCGTCGCTGGGGCTGCATTTGGCTCCGCAAGTAGAAGCAGGAGCAGGAGTAGCAGCAGGGAGGCAGGCAGCCAGGCAAGCCAAAAGGCAGGCAGGCAGGCAAGCAGGCGACGCGCAGCGTGCTAGCAGGGCAAGAGCTCACCAGTGGTGGGAAGAGTAGGTTCGGCGACTCAGCGGCTCGGCAGCTCGGCGGCTCGGCGGCTCGGGCGACTCGGGCGGCTCGGCGGCAAGGCGGCTCAGCAGCAACTGCAGCTCAGTAGCTCGGTGACTCGGCGGCTCGGCGGCAGGGCGGCTCGGCAGCAACTGCAGCTCAGCAGCTCAGCGACCCGGCGGCTCGGCGGCAGGGCGGCTCGGCTGTGGGGCGGCTCGGCTGCTGCAGTGGGAGATGAAGGAGGAGGAGAAGCAGGGGAGGCCACACACCTGCCACCCCTCTGCTGGCCTCTCGGGTCGCCAGTCGAGGCGACCTGAGAGGGCCGCTTGCGGCCCCCGAAGGAGCCGCGACGGGCGACGGGAAAAGGGGGGGTGGGTGGTGGGGGGCCGGTAGGTGCAGCGGCGGGGCCAGCAGGTGCAGTTGCGGGGCCGGTAGAAGGGGACGGCAGGAGCCGTCAGGAGGGGACGGCGGGGCCGTCAGGAAGGGACGGCGGGGCCGTCACGAAGGGACGGCGGGGCCGTCAGGAGGTGACCGGGCCGCGACGGGGGCAGGCGGCGGGGCCGCGTAAGGGCCTGGGCGGGGCCGCGACAGAGCCGTCGGCGGGGCCGCGTGAAAGCCGGGGCGGGGCCGCGTAGAAGCCGGGGCGGGGCCGCGCAAGAGCAGGCGGCGGGGCCGCGAAGGAGCCGGGGCGGGGCCGCGTGAGAGCAGGCGGCGGAGCTGCGTAAGGGCCTGGGCGGGGCCGCGACAGAGCCGTCGGCGGGGCCGCGTGAAAGCCGGGGCGGGGCCGCGTAGAAGCCGGGGCGGGGCCGCGCAAGAGCAGGCGGCGGGGCCGCGAAGGAGCCGGGGCGGGGCCGCGTGAGAGCAGGCGGCGGAGCCGCGTAAGGGCCGGGGCGGGGCCGCGCGAGAGCAGGCGGCGGGGCCGCGAAGGAGCCGGGGCGGGGCCGCGTGAGAGCAGGCGGCGGGGCCGCGACAGAGAGGGCGGCGGGGCCGCGTCAGTGAAGGCGGCGGGGCCGCAGGGGAAATGGCGACCCGAGGGGTCGCTAAAAAAAAAGATCGCGCCTCGGGGGGCGCTTCGGTGGGCCCAAAAAAAAAAAAAAAAAACGGTCCGTAGAAGGACCCGCTCTATACCATGTGAGAATAAGCGAACAGGAATGAGTGAAACTAGCAGTGAAATGAGTACAAGTAGGAAACCCTAGAATTGTGTACCCCCTATAGGCTAACCCACTGTAGCCTACACAAGCAGAACATATCTAATGTTTGACAACAGGTGCACACCACACAGGTGCACACCACACAGGTGCACACCACACAGGTGCACACCACACAGGTGCACACCACACAGGTGCACACCACACAGGTGCCCACCACACAGGTGCACACCACACAGGTGCACACCACACAGGTGCACACCACACAGGTGCACACCACACAGGTGCACACCACACAGGTGCACACCACACAGGTGCACACCACACAGGTGCACACCACACAGGTGCACACCACACAGGTGCACACCACACAGGTGCACACCACACAGGTGCACACCACACTGGTGCACACCACACAAGTGCACACCACACAGGTGCACACCACACAGGTGCACACCACAGTGGTGCACACCACACTGGTGCACACCACACAAGTGCACACCACACAGGTGCACACCACACAGGTGCACACCACACAGGTGCACACCACACAGGTGCACACCACACAGGTGCACACCACACAGGTGCACACCACACAGGTGCACACCACACAGGTGCACACCTGCCCATGGTCACACCATCCCATGGTCTCACCATTACCTAAACTCTGAACCATCTAACTTAAAGTGTAAGTGCTTGATCAGCAGCACTGCTGAACAATGCTAGAGAAGGGAACTGCCTGCGCAGAGCAACCAAAAGTAGTTCAGGTTTGAACTCGTACTCTTTGGCATGATAAAAGAAAAACTTCAGGTTCGGAGCGTTGATGAACAGGCTGCTGCTGCTGCTACTGCTGCCGCTCCTGCTGCTGCCGCTCTTGCTGCTGCCGCTCCTGCTGCTGCCGCTGCTGCTCTCTTCTTCCCCACCAAAGCACCTCCAGAAATTAGAATCTTCCGGGTCCTCGGGTTTAGCTTTGTAACTAACCCCCCCAGTGCTGTAACGATTCATACCAACGGCGAGGCGGCTCAAACGGCTCCACTTCACACGCGCGCCCTCCAGAGGCCACCCGTGCCTCACTATAAGCGACTCCACTGTAGGCGCTATGCTGCTGAGCAGGTGGGTCACGGTGCGCTGAGATTCGAGATCGGAACAGGGAAACGCACGCCAACGATTTTCTCGAACGGTTGGTCCGTTCATGTAGACGGATTTGGCGGCAGCCAATGGGAGCGAAGTTACGAGAAGCTGCGAGCGGCCAATGAGAGAGAGCGAGTCGAGAGAGGGGCGGCTGCCGCATGTGCAATCCACGTTGAGAAACGCTGCAGTGGCCGAGAGGGACTTTAAAGAGGGGGCCATGGTGAAGCGGAGGAGGAGCGCTTGTTTCTCAAAGCAGACTGTGATAGATCGAGTAGCAGTGAACTTGAAATCGAGGGTGGTGGAGCCAGAGCCATGGCTGGAGGAGGCGAGAGCGAGTTCAAGCAGTTGCGGTGCGACGGATGAAAGAAAGGACAGCTCATTTCCGTCGCAATTGAAATCGTGGATGCTCAGGCTCCTTAAAGCCTTGAATTTTGCTGGATCCAGGTCGCCTAGTTGCCAGGTCCCGCGACCTAGCTTCACCCGCTGCAGATTCTCAAACTCCTTGAGGAATGCCGGATTCATCAGGTGAATCTCCTTAATGATAGGCTCAATTCCCCCGGGTGGTTCCTTGAGCCCAATGCACAGGTTTGTGAGGGAGCATATAGAGGGCTGCAAGAGACGGTCGATGCTGTCCAGATCTTGGGGGCTGTTGAGACGGAGATCAAGGGATGTGTGAGCTGCGTGCCGCAGGAAGAAGGAGAGCATTCCTATGTTGAAAACGAGCGTCATGGGCTCCAACTCCTGCTCACACACAGCGATGGTCACATAGATGGTCGCATAGATGGTCACATAGATGGTCACATAGATGGTCACATAGATGGTCACATAGATGGTCACATAGATGGTCACATAGATGGTCACATAGATGGTCACATAGATGGTCACATAGATGGTCACATAGATGGTCACATAGATGGTCACATAGATGGCCACATAGATGGTCACATAGATGGTCACATAGATGGCCACATAGATGGTCAAATAGATGGTCACATAGATGGTCACATAGATGGTCACATAGATGGCCACATAGATGGTCACAGCGATGGTAGAGAACCTTAAGCACGACCATGCAGCTCATAATAATTGTGATAGCAGATTGCACGGGCCAGATATCATGGTTTACCATTCCGTGAAACGAGTAAGGTTGTACGATGGAGCGAGGGAAGCAGCACACGATGACTCACGGAGAAGGAGGCAACGTGGTGGAGGAGAGGGGGATGGTGGAAGGGGGAAGTGGGGAAGTGGGGAGTGGGAAGGGGGAACGGGGGAAGGGGGAAGGGGGAAAAGGGAAGGGAGAAGGGGGAAGGGGGAAGGGGGGAAAGGGAAGGGAGAAGGGGGGAGTGGGAAGGGGGAAGCAGCGCATGATGACTCACGGCGAAGGAGGCAACATGGTGGAGGAGCCTCTTGCTGGCCATGGCGTAGAACAGCAGAGGCCAGGAGGCGCCGAAGCTCCGCAATGCCTCCGCATGCTGCTCCGTGATGGCAGGAAACGGAAGAGCTGTGGCGTTCGCGGTGCCGCCTGCTTCCTGCTGCAATGCACTCGAGGATTCACCCTGATTTTCCGGAAAATGATGTGCCAGAAGGTGGCGGAAGATGATGTGCCAGATGGGGCCAGGCAGCAGATCAACCACATCCTCGCTCTGGCAGTGGGGAAAAAGAAAAAAGAAGATAAGTGAGCAATAGAAAGTGAGGATTTGCCTAAATCTCTATTTCTTCCTGAGAGAAATGTGATGAGAATATCCGCTGGGAACCATGGTCCAATGCTTCACTGTCGCAAAATTTGCGACATCATGCCTCACTCACTGCGGCATCTCACCTCGTGGCGCTTCTCGGCATCAGAGGGCGGGAGAGTATCATTAAGAGCATGATTTCTTTCCATCACCTCATCTCCATGGCTATCCATCAGCGGCAACAGTCAGCTACGCAATCGACAGAAACACTGGCGTTCGAATAACAGATTCAGCTTGACAAAATTCTGATAGTAGTGTCTGATAGGCTGCTTGGACTGCACAAAACCGGCAGAGAAGGGTTTCCGTGGAGGGAAAACTCGTGCAGTGAGAGGAGAGGGTTACGCTGGTGACAGGTTTTCTGCTCGCCTATCGTTTTCCAGGCCTGACACCACTCTAGCGAAAACTTGCAAATTGTAGGCGAATGCTTTCGCGATCGCATAGGCTTGATTGGGACTGAAAACAGTAGCTTCACGAAGTCTGGTCGGACCATATCAACCATATGGTCCGACTGGACTTTGTCGGGCCGGAGGGCCAAACGAGGCACGGGGGTAAGCCTTCGGCTTGGTAGAGGCTTGGAGACAGCCTCATACTTTTCGTGCCAATCATCAGGCTGTACGCTCCCATGAGTTTGGGCTTCGATTCGCAGGCACTCAATTCGAATGAATTGTTGATATTGCTGACAATGAACGAAGTGTACTCTCTGTCAGAATCCCAACCACTAGACCATTGGGATAAAAGGGCTTGTTTAAGTAGCGGGTCAGTGGGCCCACAACCCCCCAGGCCAACGTGCCTGTAACCCTTCCCTAGGATCAATCAGGGATCACCAGTGGACCTCTGACACCCCCCCGCACTGGGATGCCCGAAGTGCATACACCGGGATTCGAACCCGAGACCTTCGCTCTGATACCATGTCTGAATCCCAACCACTAGACCATTGGGATAAAAGGGCTTGTTTAAGTAGCGGGTCAGTGCGCCCACAACCCCCCAGGCCAACGTGCCTGTAACCCTTCCCTAGGATCAATCATGGATCACCAGTGGACCTCTGACACTCTCCATGTCATACATGTTTGTTTAGTGCTTTAGTTACATTTCATAGCATGAAGATGTGGAATTAATAGCGAAGAAATGTTCAGAAATAAATATATGATGGTTAGATTAATATTGGTTTAAATCTGGTGGCTTTTGTATCATACATTGTCCTATTTTCGTATTACTTTGCTACAAGACTATGCGAAAAGCAACTTGGGTGGGGTTGCATGCATAGAAGTACAGGTAAGCAATACATGAAAGCAGCAAAAGCAGACCAAGAGCACCAACATCCTCATCAGCTATTCAACAGATTTGATACAGTCACATACTGTATGTACCATATTCAAGGTATTCGAAGGACCCACCCACCCAATCTGTTCCTGCTGCCGTTATAGCTGTCCTGGCTACTGCTATAGCTTTCTATGCTGCTTCTCTGAAGACACACAATTTGCGTGTTTTCGAAATTCACCCAACCGTCCCTTTGTTGCTTACAAGTGCTCAGAGGCACTGAAGGCCGTCCATAAAGTCGTCCGCATCTATCTCGCCACACGAGCCTTCCGTTGTCTCAAATCGCGGAGCATTTGAAGCAGCCCGATGCGCACTCACACACACGATGGGCTGACAGAGCCGCTCGCTGCCTATGGGGTTCCAGCATAACAACCTGCCAACAACGCAGTAGATCTCCAACGAGGGGAAGTCCTCTTGCAGCGACACGAGAGTGTCGGAGTTGCACCGGCGCGTGGCGAAGAGGAGAGACCGCAGCGCTGGAGCATTGATGTAGGGAAGCCTTGGCGCTTCACGGTTCCTGCTTCGACTCCTGGTGCTGCTACTGCTGTCAACAACGTCACCACCTTTGCCACTGCCACCGCCGCCATCCCTGCCACTGCCTCTGTCTCCTCCTTCCCCCATGCCACCTCTCCTCGGGTACAAACGGCTGATGCCGCCCGCACGAGCCTCTGCTGCCTCCACTACTGTCTTGCACCTCCCCCTGCCCGCCTTGCTCCCACGCACACCGATTGCCACGCGGTGCAGCTCCCTCCACTCGCCCTCCACTGACTCTATCGGCAGCGAGTGTGGCACCATCAGTGCCTCCACTGTGGGGGCTACTGATTGCAGCACGCGGATCAAGGAGGATTCAGAGATGGATGGAGAGTAAAGTTCCCGGGAGATGGAAGGCTGATTCGGAGAAATCTGAGGTGAGTGAGAGAGGTTGCTGAGGGAGTGAGGGGGGGTTGGCCAGAGGATTGACTGACTCCTCGTGCATGCTTGGTGCGTTCAGGTAGACGTCTTTGGCCGATGCGAGGGAGAGCGATGCCACCACGAGGCGCTTGCGACCAATCAGCATGAGGAAGTCGGGGGAGAGTGGGGCTTCACAGCGACAGTCCAGGTCGAGAGAATGCGCTGAAACAGACAGGGAGTTGAGAGAGGCAGGGAGGGAGCGCGCGAGGTGCACTCTGTGCTGGTCCAACACGAGGTGGATGGATTGAGCAGCGGAGAAGCTAAGGTTGAGGGTGCATGGACTCTGTCCCTGGTTCAACACGTAGAGGGAGAGTGAGGGAGTGAGGGGGGGTTGGCCAGAGGATTGACTGACTCCTCGTGCATGCTTGGTGCGTTCAGGTAGACGTCTTTGGCCGATGCGAGGGAGAGCGATGCCACCACGAGGCGCTTGCGACCAATCAGCATGAGGAAGTCGGGGGAGAGTGGGGCTTCACAGCGACAGTCCAGGTCGAGAGAATGCGCTGAAACAGACAGGGAGTTGAGAGAGGCAAGGAGGGAGCGCGCGAGGTGCACTCTGTGCTGGTCCAACACGAGGTGGATGGATTGAGCAGCAGAGAAGCTAAGGTTGAGGGTGCATGGACTCTGTCCCTGGTTCAACACGTAGAGGGAGAGTGAGGGAGTGAGGGGGGGTTGGCCAGAGGATTGACTGACTCCTCGTGCATGCTTGGTGCGTTCAGGTAGACATCTTTGGCCGATGCGAGGGAGAGCGATGCCACCACGAGGCGCTTGCGACCAATCAGCATGAGGAAGTCGGGGGAGAGTGGGGCTTCACAGCGACAGTCCAGGTCGAGAGAATGCGCTGAAACAGACAGGGAGTTGAGAGAGGCAGGGAGGGAGCGCGCGAGGTGCACTCTGTGCTGGTCCAACACAAGGTGGATGGATTGAGCAGCGGAGAAGCTAAGGTTGAGGGTGCATGGACTCTGTCCATGGTTCAACACGTAGAGGGAGAGTTCGTGTAGCTGCGGTGTGATTTGGGCCAGAAACTCGAAATCCGAGGCGGTGCAGTGGGAATGGTGGATGGTGAGGGCCCTTAAGGCTTTGAACCACGAGGGATGGAGGCTGCTGAGGTGCCAGTTGGCACGCTCCAGATGCAGCTGCTGCAGCCGCGGACAGTGCTGGAGAAACACTGGGGAGATGCGCTCGTGCTGCTCTGCTGCATGCCGCCGCTGCTCTGCATGGTCGTGCTGCTCCTCATGCTGCTGATGCTGCTGCTGCTGCTGCTGCTGCTGCTGCTCATGCTGCTGCTGCTGCTGTTGCTGGGCATGCCCATACAGGTCTTCCCAGTGGGATGCATCCGTGGGAGTGGGCCCCAGGCGAAGGGAGGTGAGGGAGTGGCCAGAGGCTCTCATTGTTGTGGCAAAGCTGTGCAGATCCGCCAAGGTGTGGAATTGCAAGTGCAGTTTCGGACTCTGATGGGTGGGGATCGAGAGAAGCACTGGAGATGAGGGGAAGAGATTATTTTTCAAGAATTCTCACAAAACACAGAGGCTCTCATTGTTCCGCTGAAGCTGTGCAGGTCCGCTAAGGTGTGGAAGTGCAGATGGGCTTCCATGCTCTGATAGGTGGGGAGAGAAGCACTGGAGATGAAGTGAAGAGCGTCTTTTTAGGAATTCTCATAAAAACACAGAGGCTAGCATTGTGCGGCTGAAGCTGTGCAGGTCAGGCAAGGTGTGGAAATGCAGATGGGCTTCCGAGCTCTGAAAGGTGGGGAGAGAGAGAAGCATTGGAGATGAAGTGAAGAGAGGGAGAGGTGAGAATTCTCGAAAAAACACAGAGGCTAGCATTGTGCTGCTGAAGCTGTCCAGGTCAGGCAAGGTGTGGAAGTGCAGATGGGCTTTTGAGCTCTGATGGGAGGGGAGATAGCAGCAGTGGAGATGAGGTGACGAGCGGAGAGGTGAGACTAGGGAGATGAGAGCAGGAGAGCAGGAGAGGAGGGATGAGAGGAGAGGAGAGACTACGGAGATGGGAGGAGTGGAGGGAGATGGGAGGAGTGGAGGGACGAGGGAAATGTGAGAAGATTCAATGCCTTGTCTGCAGCACCCACTCTCATTCCACCCTCTTCTCACTCCTCTCTTCTCTGCCGACGGAGACTGAGAAGGACTTTGAGGCGCCTAAATAAAAAAACAAAACAAACCGCGCGAGCTGAGACGACTTTTGAGGCGCCGCAAAATCCGGCGTCGAGTGAGGACGGCGTGCACAAGTTCTCTAGAAGGGCCACTAAAGGCAGAAAACAAAATGTTTGCTGGAAGAAGCTGCCAAACGACAGCGGCACGCTGGAACGGGGAGAGGATGGGTCGTGAGAGCGAAGTGACCGCGTATCGGAGTCGCTCGGATGCACTACAACTCCAGGTGCATCGCGGAAAAGGATAATTGCGATTTTGGGGGTTCGAAGGTTTTTCTGCGAAAAACATGCGACTGAGTTGCGCGAAGTGTAAAAAAAACAACGCACGCAAAAAGCGACTTTCTGTACACTAGTTGCGAATGCGGAAACCGGCGGACAAATGTGACCGCAAAGTTGCACCTCCGTCAACATTTACGAGTCACTCGGTTTTGCGCGGTTGAGAGAGTTTGAAAGCGTTTTGGCAGTGTAACGTTGACAGTGGCCATGGTAACAACAAATTTTACGAAACTGAACGACCCCACGAAATCTAGCGAGGTTACAAACGTGGATACATCGTTTTCGTTTTTTCTCAAATCTGAACCCAACCACCCAACCCAAACCACAAACGGTAGATGGTTTCTTTGGAGGTGTGACGTGGGAGCCAACAAATCAATTTGAACCAATTATTGTTCTGCTATGAAGAGTCAATCAATCTGCACCTTCCGATAGGTACACGTCAGCACACCCGAGCAAACCCACCCAAAACGTCCGCCCAATACTCCCTCAGCTTTACCACTTCCACCTTTCTCCCATGATTCCCCTTTACACCTGTACCTCCCGTAGTAATACCCACAACCTACCCCGTCTCACCCCTCCCATTTTTTTTTCCAATGGTCACCAGACTAGCATTCTTGTTGTGATGGAACCTACTGAACATGATGCCACTTATTCACCAGCGATTTATCCCTTACCTTACTTGGTGAACATTTGCACGTCAGAGCCCACGTCAGAGCCTCATTCAGGACTTTCCCCCTTCCATTTACCAAAACATTCCCCTTTTCAGGTCGACGAGTTTCAACATTTTTGTGGAGAACATGCACGCAATTTTTTACGTTTAGACGCCGTTGCGGCAGCTACTTCTTTAACAATTGGTAAGGTATTTAAATATCGCTGAAGTATGCGTTTTTTATGGCTTCGCCATGTGTCCTATGTTTGCAGTCCCAAGTAATGTTACCTTCTTGGTTCTTACGATTGCATCTACTTCATATATTCGGTTAGAGACTAATCCTGTCCAGCATCTCACTCATCGCCATGCGTAACCATCGGAGTTAGAGCAGCCGCAACCGACTATGCAAAATGTAAGTACGATGCATTTGGTGTTTCGATTCCGTGGGTATCACTAACCCTTCTGGAACAAGCTCAGAGACGTGCGTAACAGCAACCTTGTGGGTGCAGGTTTCACACATGTGAACGTCATCGCTTACCTTTTTTACTAGCAGGATAATAAATGTCGATACTCGCATTACCGTATGCGTTTTGATCAGGGCGTCCCGGTTACTGCATGCTTATCGTCAACCAGTATCGCGCTATGCATATTGTTCAACACTACCCATTAGTACTGACCACAATGGTGAGTATTGGAAACGCAAACTTGGTATATTTGTTAACCAAGTTTTCATGTCTTTTTTTCCAGTTTACATCCGTTTAACTTGTAGAGTTTTTCTTCTTGCAGAGATGCGTTACAGTAACTTGTGTTTGCATGTTTTGCAGGGCCAACCTGTTACCCCCTTCCATTGTCTACCAGAATCCTTATTAACCATAATGGTGAGTGGTGGAATGGCAGTATTGTTATGATTTTTTAACAAGGTTTTTTTCCTCTGTTTCTGCAGGCTGCGTCCATATTCTTATTAACTGAGTTCACACATCATCTTGAGAAAATGTGAACGAGAATGAATGAACTATGAATAAAGTGGGTACAAGTACTAACCCTAATTGGGTTGTACCCCCTATGGGATACCCCACTATAGCCTACACAAAAGCATAAGCTATAATGTTCTGACACACCCCCATAGGCAAAGTGGGGGAGAACAGGGGGTCACAAGACCAGTCAAGCAAAGCAAAGCAAGCTCAGGGTGGATCACAAAGTCACCACACATTCCGAGCACAAGTTCAAGGCCACAAGGCCAGTTCACATGCAGGAGTACATATATATATAAGGCTAGACAAGCAAGAGCAGGTATATATATATATATATATATGTATTAGTACAAGCAAGGTCAAGGGGTGGGCAAGTGAGGCAAGACAGGGACAAGACCCAGCTGAGTGCAGAAGCGCTGATGATCACAAGGCGGAAGTGCCTTGGTGAAAACATCAACAGTGTTGGCCTCAGAGGCCACGTACGCAAGCCGCAACTGTCCACACTGCTGTAGCTCACGAGCAAGGAAGTAGCGGAGAGCAATGTGCTTTGTCCTGTGCTCCAGTCGCTGCTCTCGACACAAGGCCAGCATGGCCTTGTTGTCTACGTACAGGACTGGAGGAGAACGAGGCGGCTCTCCAAGGTCGGTCAGCAGGTAGGTGAGCCAGCGAAGCTCCTGGGCAGCCATAGCCCCGGCGTAGATCTCAGCCTCACAACTGGAGCCGAGGACAGAAGACGAGCGGGTAGCCCGCCACGAAACAGAGCCGGAACCAAGGCTGAAGGTGTAACCCTGTGACGACCGCTGCGTAGCCTGGTCGTCAGCCCAAGAAGCGTCCGCGTGCCCAGTAAGGACCACTGGATTGCGCCCTCCAAGCACTAGCCCCATGCCCGACGTACTGCACAAGTAGCGCAACACCCTCTTCGCTGCAGCCATGTGCTCTGGTCGGTGTCTCCCAGGAGCAACATAGCGTGCAAGAATGCTAAGAGGGTATGCAAGGTCAGGTCGTGTGCAGGTCATCAGGTACATGAGGCAGCCAACAAGCTCTTCATACGGGCCACTCGACTCTACGGACTCATCCGAAGGCAGATCTGAGAGCAAGTGGCGAGTAGGCAGAGGAGTGGCCTGAGGCGAGGAGTACGTGAAGCCGAAGCGCTGAAGGACCTGCTGCACCATGTGTGACTGAGTCAGGGTAATGGTGCGGCGTGCTCTGTCCCGGGTGATCTGCAAGCCAAGATAGCTGCGCAGTTCACCCAGGTCAGTGCACGTGTGTCTCTTCTGCAGCTCGGACTTCACGTAGGCGAGTCCAGCAGTGTCATCTGTGGCAAAGACCAAGTCGTCGACGTACACGAGGATGTAGAACGGCGGCAGAGAGGTGTCGGTGCGCAGAAACAGCGACGGGTCGGCAGTAGAAGGAGCAAACCCAAGTGCCGCGAGCGTAGTCCTCAGTGTGTCGTGCCACTCACGTGGCGCCTGGCGGAGACCGTAGACTGGACGCCGGAGACTCCACTGGGTACCAGGAGGGAAAGACCCAGTGAAGCCAGGTGGGCGACGCAGCCAGATCTCCTCGTGCAGGCTGCCCTGCAAGAAAGCAGTGCTGAAGTCGAGAGAGTGCAGCTCGTAGTCACGGTGAGCAGCAACGTGCAGCAGTACCCGAAGAGTGGTCATCTTCGGGGTGGGGGAGAAGGTCTGAAAGTAGTGAACTCCCTGCCGCTGACTGAAGCCACGA